TAATGGGGAAATCGTTTAGTCCAGTTATCCAGAGATAAAGACCTCCGCGTTGATGCGAAACCTGTACTGTGCACTGACAAGCAAGTAATTCAAAGCAAAGTAAGCAAAACCTGACCTACCGACCCTGAGTCATATGGACGTTAAATCAAACCACGGGATACCATACATCCCTAGCGGGCATTTATAAAAGGTTGATTTTATACTATACTACAAAAGGCCAAGACATTGTCGCCCCTATATTTTTCCCTCCCCGTCTGCCATTCCCCGTCTACCCTAGCGTGTTTGCCACTGATGGAGCCTCAAAAGAACGATGATAGGGGGTCAGTAGTAACAGGTCACGGTTTCAAATTCACTTAAAATTGCTCTAGATTTCTGTATCTACGCTGTGAGCACATCGAGACGCCCGTCACCACCCCATAGTCTTGACACCAACCTCAGTTATTGAGATCAATGTATCGAAGAGATCAAGATACCGCGTGAAACTAGTTGTTGATGACGAGAATGTCCAACTAACGCCAAATCAACGGGCTTCAGTATGGGTCCCACCACATAGCCTGTAAGTCCAGGGCTTGACGACGAATCCAGATACTCAGCTTTGTATGTATTTAGTGAGGTCCTCTATACCTCTAAAATTACGGCAGTCATTAAGACGGGCTACAAGGTCGCGGGGCTCACCTTTGGGAAAGCGAGAACAGAGGTAAATCTCGATGGAAAGGACGTCTTCGAGGAATTCTGGGGGAAGACAGGGTCGAGTATGATCATATCAAGTGGGTTTAGTCGGGAAACCGATCACTCATTGATCACTCACCGGCCCGAGCAGGAAACACAGCCTTCGACCAGAGGCCCGCAGCCGTGACATTCAAATTTCACTCCTCCCTAGCTGTTTGTATCTCATGAAGAAGGCTAAAATCCACTTACTTTTTGCGCAGTCCGAAGCAATGCGCGATGCGCTGTGTAAAGTTCGATCAGAAACAAGAAATCATCGAGCTCTCATGAGTGACAAGACGCAAAGTCGAGTCAAAATTGTCCTGAAGTATGGTGTGGCAATCTCAGAGGTGAGTTCCTCTTCGCTTTTTGTACCGCGCCGGTTGCTCTAAACTTTTTAGATCAATCCTTTTGCAAAAGCCGCATTTAGTATAGCGAGGGTTACATTTGAGGTATACCTTTGATATCTCGTATATTATTGCCTACTCACACTCCCGGCTAGCTCTTAGAGAAACAGCAGAAATATGACGAGATATTATCGGACCTCGGCGATCGACTCCGTCGTGTTCTTCCTTTTGCAGAGCAAATTCTGCAGGATGGAGTTCACGATGACACTATCGCGTTGCAAAAGGTCATTGATGAGATGTATCTCTTGACTATTGATGTCGCGGAATTCGCTTGTGGCCATGTCCAGCGAACTGTTCTGAGTGGGTGCTTCCGAATTCATCTAAAGCCCAGAAATAACTGATACATGATAGGGAGAACTTTGAAAGGGATGACATCCCATGAGGACATGGTGAAGATTAGCGACCTACGTGAGAGACTTGGCAAGCTTGTCGAAGATTTCAGCCGAGCTATGGACGTTGAAATACTGAAAACAGTAAGACTAGGTGGTACGTATTATTCTCTTCATATTGGGAGATATGTAAATTTACTTTTGGCATACAGAAGAGCACGACCTCCTCAATAGATTAGAGCCTGTCAAGACGACACACAGCTTGGATCGGTGTTGTATGCCCGGAACTCGCCAGGCACTTCTTACAGACATAATAGAATGGGCCTTGGAAAGTCCTAAAAACGATTCCAAAGCGCGGGGTGAAGCAGTATACTGGCTATATGGCATCCCTGGCATCGGAAAAACGTCTATGGCGAATTCAATATGTTCCAAACTTCACGCAAAAAAGCGATTAGGGGGTGTTTTCTTCTGTAGGAGGGATGACCTATACCTTAGCGACCCAAAATGTATCCTACCAACGCTCATGTTCAAACTGGCTGGGATGTGGGGACCATACAGGAAACTCCTTGCGGAGGAACTACGCACAGATCCTCATTTAAATCGCGACTCGGCCGGATATGGCCTCTTCTCCAAGCTTCTTGGACGTCTAATGGACCATCCAACAGACCCCCTCGTATTCGTCATTGACGCACTAGATGAGTGCGGCAACAGCCAGACCCGCAAAGCGATACTCACCAGCTTATTCGACGCATGTTCACGAGCCAAATGGTTGAAAATTATCATCACAAGTCGACAAGAAAAAGATATTGAGGTATCTTTTCAGCGGCTCGATCAAATTGGTCCCTATATAGCCCAAGACCTTGCCGCGGACAACGAAGCATCTGATGGCATCCGCAAATTTGTGACCAAAAAGCTCAAGAATGTTGCAGACCGTCATTATTTGGGAACAGATTGGCCTGGCCCCGAAATGGTAGAGAAAATTGTCGCACGATCTGGTGGCTTATTCATCTTTGTTGATACATTGTGGAGACTACTAAAAGATGACTTCCATCCAGATCGTTGTCTGGCTCATGCTCTGACAGAGTCCTATGGCAACGTTCTGGCCGGCCTTTATCGTCTATATTCAACCACGATTGCATCTCGAATTGGTCAAAATCAAGGGGAATTCCGCTTAATAATGGGAACGATCATTGCTGTGGGGTATCATCGACCTTTGTGTGACAAGAGTGTGGCGGACTTGATCGGCGTTGATATACGTATGGTCAAGATGCTAGTAGACAAACTAAACGTCCTACTGTACCGGGATACAGAGGCAGATGGAGGGATCCGTGTACGGCATCTATCTGTTATAGAATTCCTTACAGGATCAGATTGTCCACTGGAAATGGGTATAGATGTCAAGAAAATCCATCGGTTGGTCGGTCTATCCTGTCTCAATATCATGAATCGACAACTTCGGTTCAATATATGCGACCTGGAATCGTCATATATATCAAATAAATATATAACGGACCTAAAAGATCGAATTGACAAGAACCTCTCGGACGTTCTCCAATATAGCTGTGTTTATTGGTCCAATCATATTTGTTACTCTCCCGATACTATGGAGGTGCAAACGTATGAAGCTCTCGAAATTTTCTTCAATAATCCAAATATCCTCTACTGGACGGAGGCTCTAAGTCTGATGGGAAAGATCCCTGTCGGCGAATTAGCATTGCAGAGGGTTTTATCTTGGACTCAGGTCTGGTAGACAATTACACCAGTTAAGATAGTATCACTGAACTGTTCTTCCAGTCCCCTGACAGATCACTGGTAGAAATTCTCAACGATGCATTGCGGTTTCTGGTCACCTTCCGTACTCCTATCATGATGAGTGCGCCGCACATTTACCTTTCAGGACTTCCTTTTATGCCAAGTGGTTCACGACTATGGAACAACATGGCTCCGAAATTTAAAGGGCTTATAGTTGTTCAGCTTGGCCGGATGAAGTCATGGCCAGGTCGCCCTGAGAAATGGATTGGCCACACTAAATGGGTAATCTGCGTCGCATGCTCCCCAGATAGCCGACGGATTGTCTCCGGTTCTCTGGATAATACAATGAGAATCTGGGATATAGAGACAGGAGTGGCTGTTGGTGAGCCCTTGAGGGGTCATGCGGACCATATAAGAAGCGTCGCTTATTCACCAAGTGGTCGATGTATCGTGTCCGGCTCCTTCGACCATTCGATTCGTATATGGGATGCAGAAACAGGAAATTCAAATTTTAGTCCCTTAGAAGGGCATACTGGTACAGTCAACAGTGTAGCATACTCTCCGGATGGTCACCACATTGTCTCCGGCTCTTACGATAACACTATTCGGATCTGGGACGCGGATATGGGGAGCTTAATCGGCGAACCACTGATAGGTCATACTGGATGGGTCAACAGAGTGGCATACTCTCCAAATGGTCGGTATATCATCTCTGGCTCCTTTGACAAAACAATTCGTATTTGGGACACGATGGCGAGCAATGCCGTTATTCATATATTAGAGGGACATACCGACTGGGTGAAGAGCGTATCATATTCAAATGACGGTCGATACATCCTTTCAGGCTCCTGGGACAACACGGTACGAGTTTGGGATGCGGAAAAAGGAGTTGAAATTGGTGATCCACTGAGGGGACATACTGGAACTATCACAACCGCCATATATTCTCCAGATGACCTTCATATTGCTTCTGGATCTTCAGATAACACGATTAGGATCTGGGACTCGAAGAAAAGAGCCCTGATTTGTGACCCGTTAGCAAAGCACACCGACTGGGTTAATGGTCTCGTATACTCGCCAAACGGCCGATATCTCTTCTCAGCATCTGATGATAACTCGGTTAGAATCTGGGATGCAAAGACTGGGGATGCTATCGGAGAGCCAACAAACGGACACGTTGGCTTGGTTAGCAGTGTGGCATACTCACCAGATGGTCGCTACATAGCTTCTGCCTCCTTTGATACTACAATAAGGATCTGGGACTCCAAAACAGGAGAGTCTATCGGAAAACCTCTCTGTGGACATACAGAAATGGTCACAAGCATGTCATACTCTCCGGATGGTCGGTATATCATATCTGGCTCCTCGGACAGCACTCTTCGACTATGGGATGTGGAAAGAAGAACCTCAATCGGTGAACCATGGAAAGGGCATGAGGGATCCGTGTTCAGTGTTGTATACTCCCCAAATGGTCGCCATATAGCCTCCGGATCCGACGACAGTACGGTTCGAATATGGGATACAGAACGAGACATCCCGTTTGAAAAACTTATGAAAGGGCATAAAGAATTTGTATATGTTGTCACATATTCACCAGATGGTCGGTATGTAGCCTCAGGCTCGCGTGACAGGTCAATACGCATATGGGATACAGTCACAGGGACATTGGTTGGGGATCCATTAAGAGGACACACTAGTCTAGTTACAAGTCTAGCATACTCTCCAAATGGCTGTTATATTGCCTCCGGCTCGCTGGACAAGACAATTCGCATATGGGACACGACAACAGGCTCTGTTGTTGGCGAAGCGCTAGTAGGGCATACTGGTCCAATCGAACACATTGCGTATTCCCCAAATGGACAGCAAATCGTGTCTGGTTCATGGGATAAGACAATTCGAATATGGGACGTAGAAGGGCGAAAGGTTCTCTGTGAGCCATTGAAGGGACATGAGAATCTGATCTCATGTGTTACATATTCACCAAATGGCCAATATATTCTTTCTGGTTCCTATGACCAGACTATCCGAGTCTGGGTGGCACCTGGACAAGTTAATGAATTTTCAGCAGGGAAAGGCTTAGGCCCATCACACGACGCCATACCTTTATCTTTTCCTCTACGGGACATATTACCTCTACAGGACTTTACCTCAGCAGCCTTAAATGATCGGATTCGGCAAGGTAAGAAAACCATGCTCTAAATTTAGTCGAATATTGTCCACTCAAAAGCGAAACTCACTGTGCAGATGACGATTACACTCTACTATTCGATTCTAATGGATGGATTCGTCACCCAGATGGTCACCTTCTATTTTGGGTTCCGGAGGGCTTTCGGCATAGGCTAATGTGTCCAGCTGTCCTCACAATTCCGATAAGTGGCCACCACAGGGCCGTGCGGGTTGAGCTTAGTGAATATTGCAATGGAAACACATGGAATAAGATTCAGGAGGCGAATGGGTGAGTTCAAAGATAAAATTCTGTATCCGAGATTATAGATTATCTCAATTAAACTGTATTTCACGGTCTATATCATGATAATCCAGAGATTCATTACCAGGAAGCTAGCTCAGTTCACAAATATCTATCCACCCGGATCGCGAGAGTAGTCTTTCTCGTTCCCGTTCCCAAATTGCCTGCGACCCATCTCTTAAATTTCTCTCCCACAGCTCATCCATTTTTCCTATACCGT